TAATAGATTATACTTTTGCATACTTGTCATTTACATTAATAGATTATACTTTTGTATACTTGTCATTTACATTAATAGATTATACTTTAAACAAAATATTCAGAAACGGTCCTGAGGCTTTAATTATTTTGTTGTCTTAGTGTTTTCTTCTATAAGTAGCACTTTCATTGAAGCTTTAAAGGTTTTATTCACCCTTACATGTTAAACACAGGAATATATGCACTGCGGTTTCATACATATTACATGAAAAAACATGACAAGTTATACTGCGATACACTCGTGGCTATGTCTCCATGTTAACCACTGCATGATTCCCTACACCACAATGTCGAAAAGGAGAAATAAGAATTAGCAAATTTTAAAACAGTTGTTAACATTCGTTGTTTCAACAACTGTAGTGTCAATTTACAAAAACTGTAATATGGGAATAATTTTTTTCTCAAAATTATAACTTCAGGATTTCCTGTGTACCTTCCAAGAGGCAAAACAAAACTAATTCTGCCTCTAAAACACGAAGATTATGAAAACACATGTATTGAAAGAAGTGTTTGAAAATGTTCTGTCGCGAAACAGCAGCAAGTGTTCGACGATATCTCAATAAGTTGGATTAGTTTACTTATAATGCACTACTTTCTTATTTTGTGGGCATTACAGTAGCTCGGTTTCTTAACAACACTTAACCAAAATATTGCTACTGCGTTAACTGCCTTATTAAGAATGGTCGGCCTTCACAACTTTCTTTAGTTGTGTATTTGATTAAACTTACAGCACTTTGATTTAAGCTGACGTAGATGTTACGTTAACTTGGATTTATCTTACTCCAAATTAAAATACGTCCAAGGTCATTATCAAATTACGTCAAAGATAATCCTTGAACTAAGTCTAAGACAACTTATAAAAAATTAAATTATGTCAAAGATAACCATTGAACTAATTCTAAAGTAACTTATGAACAATTAAATTATGTCAAAGATAACCATTGAATTAATTCTAAAGTAACTTATGAACAATTAAATTATGTCAAAGATAACCATTGAACTAATTCTAAAGTAACTTATGAACAATTAAATTATGTCAAAGATAACCATTGAACTAATTCTAAAGTAACTTATGAACAATTGAATTATGTCAAAGATAACCACTGAACTAAGTCTAAATTAACTTATGAACAATTAAATTATGTCAAAGATAACCATTGAACTAAGTCTAAAGTAACTTGTGAACAATTAAATTATGTCAAAGATAACCATTGAACTAATTCTAAAGTAACTTATGAACAATTAAATTATGTCAAAGATAACCATTGAACTAATTCTAAAGTAACTTATGAACAATTAAATTATGTCAAAGATAAAGTAACTACTGAACAATTAAATTATTTCAAGATAACTCCTGAGTTAAGTCAATAGGAAATTTTGATTTAATATAAAGTAATTCACAAGAATTTTTGAAATGAAGTTCAAGGAAAGTTTTCAAACTACGTTTAACATTAATTTACAAATTAAGCCAAAACCTAGCTTTACATTCTGTCTAAATTTATATTTGAACGGACTCTAGTATAATCATTGCATTAAGCCCAAGTAGAGATGTAAATCCAAATTAGATAAACATTCAAATCCAAAGAAATATTTCAAACAGTCTGAAGGTTTGAAGTGAGTCTAAAGAAACTGTCATTTTGAAAGTAGCTTATATGCCGAGTCTAAGGTCATTTTTGAAGAAATCCAACGTAACCTGCAAATTAAGTTACATTCCACTATTGTTCTCCTCCTCCAGAAATCATCTATGGGATAGGTAGTGCCAGAAGTTAGTAATACCATAATTATTTTTAGCAGGGGTGATAAGTACCTTCATATTATTTCACTTGTATCATTTTCATTTATTTATTTTTTTAAATTATGTTAGGTAAATAATTAAGAAAACATATGTTTGATGTTAAATGTTGCAATTTAAATGCCGAAATCCAACGAAATGGGGAGATACATGCAAATTTGCGGTTTCCCATTTTGTGTTTTGCAGTTTTTATGGACGTTTTTGCGTTTTCTACAATTGCATATAAGGGAAACAACTTTTCATGTCCTAAGATAACATTTCATTAATCATGTCCCGGCATGGGTAGGTGGTTAGGGCGCTCGACTCTCAATCCGAGGGTCGTGGGTTCGAATCCCCGTCCC